TTGGCTACTACCCTGCTCACGGTGAGGTCTTCTTGGAAAGAAGTCCTGAATGGTTTTGTGGTCTTGACCATCTTTTCCTGTGCACTTCAGCAGCTCTTCTCCTCCGTTGGCCTTCACCCTTGATACCTTTCTAGAAAGTGATGGCAGCCCTCTCAGCTTTTGTCTTGCTCCTGCTAGTCATCGTCATCTTCTGTCAACTCTGCTGAATTTCTTATACCCCATTGAAATACACACTTTCCCAGTTGTTCCTGAATGCAAAAAATCTTACAACTCACAGCAATTAAGTAGTGTCCAGTAGCTGCCCAGCAAGCCTGTGCCTTCTCTTCTGGCCTAAGCATTGCTTGGGATCAATCACTGTTCCAATCCTAGGAAGAATTTTGAACCAGTTATTTTCTTTCTGTTTGAATCTCTGCCTATTTTCCTCCGAAACTCCGTTGTAAGACAGAATTAATTCACAATTACAAAATGAGCCACGTTCTTGGTCCCAGATGAGATTTTCTTGGCAATGGAAACAGGCCTTGGGGGAAAGGTTGGAAGCTCCATACAGCAGAAAATAACCAGTATCTCTTATTAACACACAGTACAAGTTATATCAAAAGGGGCAACAGTTGTCATTTTGGTTCCCTATTAAGGTACACAGCTGTTAAGAACTGGACATCCCAGTTACTTTTTTCCTTAAAACACTATAAATGTTTCTCCAGATTTAACCACCGAGGCTGCGTTAAACTAGCAGTGCCGTTTCCCACGTACTGTTTCACCTTCTCTGCCCTTCTATCAAGTATATCAAAAAGAGTGGAAGATCACACTTTGAATGGGGAAGGCACACAAAAAAGATTAAATTTTCACATCCAAAGCACACAGCACCAACAGAATCCTTCCCTCTCCCCCAGAGCACATGAAGGAAAATCCACTATCTTTTATTCTTTGAATCTTACATTTCTTACTCTTTGAAAAGTTCATGCTAGATTTTATTGTAACACTAAACAGAATCCATTTAAACATGGCATTTTAAAAAAAAACAAAACAACACAATACATATCTAGTAGTACGATGTCATCAAGGTGAGTTTCTTCTCCATTTAGTACCCAGGTCAACCCGGTTTATATTGAATTCAGCTGGCTGATATCTCTCAGATGACTTGGTGATCAGGTGAACACAGTTTCAAATGAGCCAGAACTGGTCAAGAATTTGCACCAAATATGGCAATTGGATTGAAATGAACGTGGTTTTGAAAAAGTCAACATTTTTGCGATGTGGTTCTCAAACTAAAGTTTTGAAACTTGCTTTGAAGCTTGTTGAAATTTAAAGTAAAATGAGGATTAAAATGAAACTCCATGCAAAAAAATAAAATTATTTGGTTTTGGTCACAAAAAATGCTTAACCAAACAATCTTTTGGATCAAATGAATGGGTTGGGTTTTTTACTTCACCACTAGTTTTGGTGGACCAAAACATTTTAATGCAGAACATAATAGTTAAGTAGAAAACTAAACCAAAATCCTTAGTACATATATCATTCTTCTTTTACAAAGAGCAATTTTCTGCTAGCATCGATAGAATGAAAAGGAAATCTTTGGAAAAACACACAGGAAACATCTTAGAAAATAAATCATTCTAACATTAGGGTAACGAAAAAACAAGCCAGCGCCTTCAACCCTTTTGAAAGGATGTGAAAACAAACCAGTAGAGCTACAGGTATTCTTTACCTACATATAAACAACTCCAGTTAAAGGGGCACTGCTAATTTGATTCAAGTCTGGAAACGCTTCCCATACACACAGACTTAAGTCTCAAACACTGGGCTAGAATCTCAAAGGAGAAAATCTAACTAGCAGAGGTAGGAAACACCATTACTTGGCCATTCAACCTGTGTTTCGTTTGTGTGCATAAGATACGGAAAAATGAAGAGACCCTTGTAACAGATACTGCTCTCTTATGATAAAAGAGCATTCGACTGAAAGGCATTTTGTGAAATGACAGAAAAGAAAAGGTTTACAACACATAGAAGTTGTTTTATTTGGGGCATATGATCTTTATTTAAACTGTTACATAGGAATAGCTTTATAGAATAAGATTCCGAGTAGAAGTTTTTCTCTTTCCTCCTATGTCTGTTCCAAGCTTTGATGTTCATACTTGAGTTCCCACACTCTTCACAGGATGCAGAACTATTTATGTACAAAATTATAATCTGAAAGGCACCTCCAACATGACACCTTTGTATTTATTTGTAGAATATCACTTGCACAAATTGAAGTGAGAGTGGGGAGTATACAGTGAACACAAGTCGTCAAGAATAATAATTAGAAAAGAGGAAAAACAGAGTCTAGCATATGAAAGTTTCTCCATTACTCCTTAGTATACTTATAATCAACCAATTTCTTCTCATATTTTCCAGCTCTGTAAAATAAGACCTGTGTATCTTCCCAAAGTTTGCTTGTATGCCATACAATTCCAAGTAGCCATCCTTAAAAGCATTTTATAAATCATTTTATAATGTGGCGTGATAATTTCCCTGTGGGGATAGTCACCGAACACACAAGTTGTTCCTTTGCCAGGACAAGACTTCTAGTTCTTGATAAAGATGTTTTTGATTAGCTTCCAGGAAATGCTGCCACTTGGTTACATCCATGTTCAGTTCCTTTGCCAGTGATCCTCTATGCAAGTCACAGGGTTCACAGACGAAAACCTCAAGTGTCCTGCACAAAAACTCAAGAGATATCATCTCCCCCGCAGTCAATGTCACACCACACGTACATACGCTTACATGTAGTTTTACAAAACTTAGTTTACCAACCAGCTTTACCCATAGGAAAGTAACTTCACCCCTTTTGCAGCTAAGGGGTCCGTCTGCCTGGAGACTCTCCTGTTTCTGGGAGCTGCCTGTGAATTCCATGATGATGAGGCCTGATGGAAGTAGAGAGCTTCACACCAGCCACACCGACAGCCAAGCTCAAAAGCAGTGACTCCTGGCAGCAGCAGCAGGCAGCTCTTTGTTCACAGAAGCACTGTCTCTGTCTTAGCATCTCACAGGTTCCACTCCAGCAGATCCGAAATCTTGATGTCCAGTTTCTCTCTTTGTCTTCTTTTCTTAGTGTTTTTGGAAGAAGGAAATGGAGAGGAAGAAAGCCCAGAGGAACAACTTACACCAGGATATCACTTCTCTTGCTGCACCATACTACCAATGTTATCATGGCACATGTCAACATGACTGGGATCAAGATCAGAGTTATGAGAATTTCATCTGGTGGATCTTCCCAGTGAACTTTTTCTGAAGTACAGTTTGAAAAGAACTGTTTATGAATTCCAGTGATAAAGCCCTCTGCGAGAGGGTTTGGCCAGAAGCAACTCGCATTGTTGGCTTCACGTTCTGTGCACTGGGTGAAGTTGTCATAATACCTAGGACAAGAAGGAAATGAAGAGAAGTTTAAATAGAACGTATATGCATAGTACACTTAGAGGGTGCCATATAGAACCTGTAAGAGTGGATCTATTATGTAGATACTCTGCTGAAGGACCTTTAAAGGAAGCTGTGGGTACCAAATACTACACGGTGAGCCAGAAGGAGAACTGACTCACACGTACTCGTACAACTGAGAGATTTCCTGTGAAACCCTGAGATCCTGGATGAACAGTGGCCAAAACCCTGGTTTTGGGCACTGTCACTACAGCCAGGACCTCCTAATGCCACTTAAGTAGAATTAGAATCCCCTCACTAGAGACATCTACAGTATCTTAGAAAACATACACACAAATTTGCCAAGAACAGGACATTTTGAGCAAAATATGGGTAATTCATGACTCACCCAGCACTGAACATGATGTTGTGGCAAAAATGATAATGTGACGCTAGGATCTAGCCACAGCATGCATTACTATGTAACAATTTCAGATCTGTTGTACCCTCAGGCAGTAAGGAGATAATGGGAAAATAAAGGTACAGAAAGTTAGCTTTTGACAACTTTTATCTTTTTCCCAACTCCAGCAAATGCCCAGCGGGGGGGGGGGAAGAAAAATCATTCTTAATTACATATGTTCACAGTGCTCATGAAAGACTGGGAATCCCTTGTAATGCCTAACATTTGATTTCAACACAGCATGTGCTGAAATTTACCTGTCCAGGGATAACTTATGAGAATTGGCTACCCCTCAGGAAAAAAAAAAAGGAAACAATAAGCCTAAATGAGTAAACGGATGGGTTTTGTGGTGTTATCGTAAGCCAAAGAAATTCAGGAAGCGAATGGAGTATGAGGGAGGAGATCGGAAATTAAGAAGACGAAGAGTGTCTGGTTAGTACATGAATAGGGCAAGAAATAAGGAAGCTGAATTATTGTCTGTTGCATTTTTAAATATTTCTTTCAGTCCTCCATGACTCAATAAGCTGACTTCAAAGGCAAATTAAAAATAGCAAGGAGAGAGCAAGAAACCACATGACACCTCAAGGGATAGCATCCTGCACTATGATCTGAAGGCCCTACCCTCCCTTTCAGTACATACAAATATGGTAACTCCTGATGAATGACTCCTTCTGATGTTAAATACCACAGAGGACTAATGCTGACTCAATCCTTTGCTGCCAAGTACTGGAGGAGAGACATTCGATGTTTGGGTCAAGACTGAAGTCCACTATTGCCCATCTGTCAGGGGAAATGCCTGCCTGCCCATGATAGAAGCATCTAGGTTGAGAATACAGCCTGCAGAGCATCTACGATCTCAGGGCTGTGGCCACTGGAGAAGAAAAAGTCTCACAGAAAGGTCCTTCTGCAACCTCCTCACAGTCCTCATTCTCAGGGAGTTTGAGCTGATGCCGTTTTATTCATAAGCAAATACAGTGGACGACCTGACAAGCCCGCACGCAGACGCTCTGGCACGCAGATGCATACATGCACAATGTAGGTATATTTTAAGCAAAGCAAGTAGAAAGGAAGCTTTTGTGACAACATCAGCAGCCGCAGGGAAACAACAGGAAATATGCTAAAAATAAAATACAAATATTAGCTGTTTGTTATTTTAATAGTGTCATTCTTCCATGTGACCCGGTAGCATCCATTCTTTATGTCCTTGGACTAAATTAGAAGCTGAAGCTGTCTAGCTGAATATGAGAGAGACAGTCCCAGAGGACCTGAAGAATAAAGAATGGATCTAAACTCCTGCCTATAAGGTTCGACAGACTCCAACGCAGAGGTGGCGGAGGTAACATCCAGCTGCCCAGACAGGTCAGTGTCTGGCACAGACACCAGGCAGAGCTCCAGGGAGCGTCGGTCTCTGCTCCAGCCCTGCTCTGGGCCATGCCCTGGTGAGCAAGCTCATCCCATCAATGCCTGCTTCAGCTCCTCACTGCCCTAGCCACCTCAATTTGTCCATCTGTTCATGCCAAACAACAAAACCAACAATAAATCCTGGTGACCTGAGCAGACTTAATCTAAAAGTACCCTAAACTGAGAGAATTAATGATACAAAACCTTTCTTTTTTCTTTTTTTTATTCCCTTGTCCTGGGTGCAAAACCCTATAGAAAGTTCACTGTTCTTCCAAGAATTCTGTAGATTTATTTCATAAGTGTTAGATGGTGTAAACAAAAATATTTCCCACTGATTCTGCATTTCAAGTACAACATAGCTAGAAAAATCTGGCTAAATGTTGTGAAAAGGTCAGATAAAAATAATTAGGGAGTTATATTGTATTTGAAACACTGAATCCCTAAGAGTCAGAATAGAATAAAAATGTTACCTTAATAGTTTGAATTCTTTATAATTTTCCCTTAATACCCTCTCTCAAAAAAACAAACAAAACCTACCACCTGCAGCATAACTTTTTTTTTCCACACAATTGTGAGAATGTAGATAAGAAAAAATCTCAAATAGTTGAGAATTACATGTCTGCCATTAAAGCTCAATTCACTTAAATATTTATGTAATTTAGTAATTTAGAGTTTATGCACTGCAACAGAAAGTGCACATTAAAAAAAATCCTCTGCATGGTACTGTGTAATGGCTGCCTCGGAAGGGAGCAATTGAATCCTCGTTACTACAGCATAGGTGTTTTGTAGTTACCAATTGGTTTGCAAGTTCTTGGGCTTTTTTAAAAGGGAGGTAAGGGTTAATAGATATTTAATTCTAATTCGATTGTCCTATGCTTAATTCTCTCACCTCTTATGTAATTCTCTTTACTCAAATGGTAAAGGTTAGAGTAGGAAACCTTTTTGTTCTGTATAATAAAATGACTATCACAAAGATGCCCTTGGCCTCTGACTGGAGGTACTTCAATATAAAGGCCTAAAAATTACACACTTTGTGAAAGGGAAGAACGAGAAATGACATTTTCTACTTATTCCCAGAACAAGTAATTGGAGAGCGGTACAGTAGCACAAGTTCCTTCACCTCTTGCATTATGAGGCGGCATGGGAAGGTTATTATTCTCTGTGCTGAGTCACATTTTCATCTCTTTCAGGCTAGCTACAAGGACCCTAGTTAGTTAAGACTCAGAAAACACATATTCACTGGGAGCCAGGTCACAAACTTTGTGATCAGTGGGCTAAAAAATTAATTTATCTGTGAGTTTCAACTCAGTTCCGTAAGCTAGTACCAAAAAAACAAAACTAAGCATAGTCTGAGCACCAAAATTCATATAAATATATGCTTTCCCCCGATATGACATTATAAATCTTATTGAGGAACCAACTACTTGGTCATAGTGCATATTACGGAAAGAACTCACTTTCAGAGAATATGAAAAATACTTAATTCCTCTTTGGAACAATCTATGAGCTGTAACATATTTGTCATGAAAGATAATTTTCAATATTCTAGAACAATACTTCATTTTCAGAGCACAGACACTTTTTTCCCTGTACTTCATGTTTCCACTAAAGCAGATAATAACAATCATGTGGTTAGTTTTTGTAAAAACTGTGCAAAATTTTATTTTGCGAGTTATTTTACCCATGAGAAAAGTTAGTTATATCTATTTACCTATAACCAAGAACCTGGACAATAAGCAGCTATTATCAGGAATGCTAGTGCACCCATTTGCCTTAATGGGACAGCATTTCACGGAATGCCCACTCAAATTATTTCAACAGACAGCTGGATGTATTACATCTCACCCATCTCAGGGGACCCCATTGCCTACCACTCAGGGCACTGCTCAGTCTTAAGTGGGGGCTTGAATCTCATCCATAGTTTCTCACATCCCCAGAGAGGAACAAGGTAAATTCTCGCTCTTTCTTCCTCAACATCCCTGCACAGAAAAACTGCAGAGATGACTGGTTTACAAACACAGAAAAAAAAATGTAACTCCCTCCTCCAAATTTTCACGAGACCAAGAAAATAGATTGTTTCTTTAAGAGTTTCAACAAAGGAGCACGTTTCAAAGAAAAATGGCTCTTTCAAAAAATCCCAAACAATTGTCAAAAGGCAGAGTACCACGTATCATGTTACTGAAGACAAACTTTCGCAGGCGTTCGCCGGCTGCAGCCAGTAGACCCACTGGCAGTTCCAGTAAGAGAGTTTTGCCGCTCCTCCAGCACTCGTGGATAGATCACCCCAGAGACACTCTGCAGTCAGGGATCTTTTGCCCTTGCTTAATGAGATGGGTCAGGAATTAAAACACAAAACCAATTACTGCACTTTCACTATCCTGTTTTACATAAATCAGCTTCATGATTAGTGATATAATTATGGAAGGGTACAGCAGGGTATGTACATTATGAGTTCATTTTTGTTATTTTGAGTCCACTAAGTATTCAGAAAATAGGGGGGAAATTCTCTCTAGCATAAACAAGTCTTGATGTAAATCAGGGAATACATACCCCAGGGACACTCAGTCCTTCTGCTACTCTATAAGCCTGAGCAGGAATCTAGAGACACTGTTCCAGGATACTACAATTTATGTGGTATATTTTAATAAAGATGTTTTAAAAACTTTTTTTTCCCCCAGATGGTTCAACCAAGAAATTTCTTCATACATAGTCATATATTAAATTGGAGTTCAAAGTGAATGATCATCCTTGTAACCTCCACCCAGTCTGGAATGAGAAATGCTGAGATAATAGTAATTATAAATATCATATGATGAGAAAGGCTCTTCTTACAGCATTTCCAGATGAAGTGCAGGCAGGAAGCACCAAACAACCTCACGAAAAAAGCACGCCTATTCTTGTGTGATGCACAGCCAGATTTTACAGAATTTAAGGGTGTAACAGTCTGGATGAACTTCAAATAAGGATCCAAACCTTAAGATGATTATCTCCTGAGGTTTCACCATCACGTTAAAAGGAAAGCTTTAGTTTTATAATCAGCTAGGAGCCTACAAATATGCTGGAATATTTCTGAGCTTTTTGCATTGAACATCTCTCTACACAGATTTGTGCCGGTATCTCACCATTCCCTTAATCTTGTAT